TTTTCTTCTATTTATGTGGAGAGAAAGGGGCTTCTCGTTTATGGTGGTATGAGAAAGATTTCCTCCCAAAACAAATTACTTTAAAATGGAGAGAATTCAGGTGGAAGAGTTAAAAGTTAAAAGACTCAACTTTCTGATGGCCAACTGAATCCAGTGCCTGCGTGTTCGAGGCGGGCGCTCGGAGACCCGATCAGGGAGTGGAGTCGGCACGTTAGAGGAGCAGTCAGGGAGACACCCAGCCCTGGCCTCCCCACTCCACTGTGCGTTCCTCACTTGGATGTCCACCCACCCTGACCCCCCCCCCCCCCCAGGTTAACTGAAGGGCACGGGGGTGTGTCCCTGGGGGCTGGGCGGGAGGTTCTTTGTATCTCTGGGCACCCTGTCAGAGCTCTGGGAGGTCACCTTTCAGCGTGACATATTTTTCCCTTCTGTGTCATCGTAGCTATTAGCACGGAGATCCTGGCTCCCTCAGCCTTCCCCTAGGAGCCCCACTCCTTACACATAGAAATTCTCCAGGCTTAGATGCTCCCTCTTGGGCTTCTGCTTTGCTAACCTTTCTATAGGGAAGGGACGTCAACTCTTGGTTCTATCCCATGTCCTCTCCAGCCCTGACCCCCACCCTGGGCTTCAGACCTGCATTTGAACTTGGCAATGAAAAATGCTCACACAGGAACCACCACTTGACCCTTAAAAGGGATCCCTGCCCTCCCCGTGTCTTGCAAAGGGAGCGACAGTATTCTGGGTCCTCTTGGACTTGGGGATAAACTGTTTTCCTTTTCGTTGCTGAGGATAGAAGCTCTCCCTTTACAAAAACTGTCATGGTTAGGAGCAGACCAACGGCAAGGCTGATGGGTGGAAATCGATGCAGAGCATGGAGACAACGTGCAGAGGTTGGGATGGGATGGGAAGGGAGCCATGGGTATAAGGAGGGGAAGGGCTTGGGGATGGGCCTCACAGAGAGGGAGGTTGGATAGACCAGGAAGATATTTCCAAAGCCCCCTTCCTCCCATCAGCATTGACAGTCAGAATGTCGAAGGCTTTCACCACATAAGTAGGGATTTTCTGAGGGGCTGGAGACGCCTTCTAGAATTGGATGACCATCTGTCTACATAAAGGAGCCCTCTCTTGCAGCGGGCGGCCCAGATATCCAGAGGAAGGTCGAACTCAAGAGACCTTTGGTCAGTGTGATGGGCCCAAAGTAGTTGGCATCCATGATCCTCCTGTCCAGCTCCAGGGAGATCTTGTCGGCGGGCCCCTTCACCTTCACGCTGGCATTGTGGACGAGGATGTCCACGCAGCCGTAGCAGCCCAGCGCCTCTTTGGCCACGTCCTGCACACAGCTGATGTCCGCCAGGTCTAAGAAGACCAGCTTTGGGGTGAACGTCTGCCAATCAACAAGACGGTCAAGACACGCGTGAGAACAGCACCTCCTCTTCACACTCTGGGGCCCTTCAACTGAAGAGCCACCCCCCTCCCCTTTTAAAAACAAAAACAAAAAACATTTTATTGATTTTTTTTTTTTTTCAGAGAAGAAGGGAGAGGGATAGAGAGTTAGGAGCATCGATGAGAGAGAAACATCGACCAGCTGCCTCCTGCACACCCTCCACTGGGGATGTGCCTGCAACCAACGTACATGCCCTTGACCCGAATTGAACCTGGGACCTTTCTGTCCGTAGGCCGATGCTCTACCACTAAGCCAAACCGGTTTCGGCTCCCTTTAATTTTTAATTGCACTTGACATTGAATATTCTATTAGTTTCAGGTGTATACATAATGACTAGACATGATATGACGTACAAAGTGACCCCCCAGTAAGTCTAGTACCTCCCTGACATCATGCAGCATTACTACGACATTACTGCCTCTAGTCCCTAGGCCAGTGGCCGGCAGACTCATTAGTCAACAGAGCCAAATAGCAACAGGACAACGATTGAAATGTCTTTTGAGAGCCACATTTTTAAAACTTCAACTTCTTCTAACACCACTTCTTCAAAATAGACTCACCCAGGCCGTGGTATTTTGTAGAAGAGCCACACTCAAGGGGCCAAAGAGCCGCATGTGGCTTGTGAGCAGCAGTTTGCCGACCACGGGCCTAGGCAGCACTTCGTTTTGTAACTGCCCACATCCAGCTTTGTAGCCAGGCATGGTGGTGAGCCCTAGACACGTGCTGTCATGGAGACTCATGTTTAAAGGGACAGGGATGGGAAAATAGATGATACCATGTGGTAAAGACAATCGCAGTGGTTAACATGCTCTAGTCCTGAGATACACCCCTGAAGAGGGTCTTCTGACCAAATTTGTTTGGGAAATTACATACCCTTTTAGGAGGTACACAGTGCGCCTCATCAGCATGTCAAAGGCTCGGGAAAGTCCCGTGGGAAAGTGACCAGCCAGACATGGTGGCTCACTCAGCAGCCCCCCACCATCGCCCTCAGAACCTTGGGTTCACTCCTTCCCTAAGAACATCCCAGGAAACACACCTTGAAGGGTCCTGGGCTCCATCTTTCCATTTATCACACTTAGGTCTGAATTATTGCTATTTTCAAAAACCAAGTTCAACATCATGGGCAAAGATTAAAAAAATCCCGAAGAGAGCTGAAAGCAGTTTCCCAGACAGCGCTCCGGAGACGCTCTGAGAAGGGCAGTGATGCTGAGCTACGTGCTTACCTCCCAGGTGACTCTTTAGGAGGGTTTCACCCCACTGGTCTCTGAAGAAAACATTATTTGAGCCAAAACCAGTTTGGCTCAGTGGATAGAGCGTTGGCCCTGCGGACTGAGGGGGACAAGGGCATGTACTTGGTTGCAGGCACATCCCCAGTGGTGTGTGTATGTGTGTGTGTGTGTGTGTGTGTGTGCGCGCGCGCGCGCAGGAGGCAGCTGATCGATGTTTCTCTCTCATCGATGTTTCTAACTTTCTATCTTTCTCCCTTCCTCTCTGTAAAAAGTCAATAAAATATATTAAAAAGAAAAAGACAAAGCACATCATTTGAGCTCTTATACCCTCCCTCTGGGCCCTCTCTGGCTCTGAATGGGAGTCAGAGGCTAGAGGATACCATTTGGCCTGGCCAGTGACCCGTGAATTGACCCCTAGGACTGGCAGACATGCTGTGTCTAGATTAGCGAGGCTATTGCCTTACATACCCCCAAAGTGATCCCCACATTTCCCCCCATTTGACCCAAGGGCTGCTGGTGAACAACCCGTGGAGGGTAAGGGTGCCGGGAGCTGTCTGAGCTGACGGCCGGAGGCTCACCTTGCTGGGGTCAGCCACGCTGATCAGGGCGTCGTAAAGGTCCTCCAGCTGCTCCCAGTTCTTCCCGCACAGCACCAGCCTCGCGCCGCCCGTGTGGAACACCCGCGCGCACTCTGTGGGGAGAGGGAAGGAGTGCAGGGCGCGCCGTGTGGATGGAGCCACGAACGGTGGGCCCCTCTGCATTGCACATTCAAAAATTCAAAGAATCTCAGAGATCAACCAAAGAGCTAGTATGTATGCACAGAAGCCTAACCAATGGACACAGACACCAGGGGTGTGAGGGCATGAGCGGAGGTGGGGTGGGAGGGCCATGGGGGAATAAGGACACATACCTTAATCCAGCAGCCGGCAAACTCATTAGTCAACAGAGCCAAATATCAACAGTACAACGATTGAAATTTCTTTTGAGAGCCACGTTTTTTAAACTTAAAACTTCTTCTAATGCCACTTCTTTGAAATAGACTCGCCCAGGCTGTGGTATTTTGTGGAAGAGCCACACTCAAGGGGCCAAAGAGCCGCATGTGGTTCATGAGCTGCAGTTTGCCCACCACGGCCTTAATCAATAAAGAAAAAAAAGGTGTGTGTGTGTGTGTGTGGGAAGAATACAAAGAATCTAAAAGTCCGAGGACCCTGAGGTCTTTTTAGAGCTCATTTCACTCAACCTCCTCCCTGGGCTGGGATCAGCTCTCATTGCCGCCTTGGGGTGTGGCCTCCTGTGACAGGGAGCCCGTTGTGGGGGGAACAGCCTTTGTGCACAGGTGCACTCTGATGATTAGAACATTCTTCCTAAAACTGGACAGAACGATGGCCCTGCCCAGCGAGGCCTCCTGTCCACAGCCATAAATACATCCTAGTCTTAAGATATTGGGAACAGCCCATGTATTTTTCGGACCAAATAGCACCAGTTTTGTTTACAGAGTCTCTGTAGATGAATACTCCAGCCAGGGTTCTTTTTATTAAAAAAGGAAACCTGCCTTAGTTAACTGGACTCTGGACTAACTCCCAGCTCACCCAATACAGGACGTTCTCCACTGGCCCATGGCTGGGAGACACACTGCATTCTTGTGCAGCAATGACTGCTGTTTAAGAACAGTGAAAGCTAACGTATCTTGGGAGCTGAGTTGTCCCAGGGACTCTTAAAGGGGATGTACATGTATTAGCACATATAATTCTTACAGTAGCCCTAGGGGGCCATCCCCTGGTTGGGCGCTCTGGAAGCAGACCAGGGTGGCCGGGATTTACTGAGTGTGCTCTTTGGGGAAACCCTACCAGGAGTTAGGCTGCGGGGTCGTTCCAGGCAAGGATGGGGTCCCAAGGAAGGCTCGGAGCAAACCCAACCACAGAGCTGTTCTCCCTGAAGGCAGACGAACCAGCCTTCCCTACACCCGTGCCAGCCAGTCACTGACTATGCTGCTGCCCTCTGGGGTGGGTGCAGAGGGTGTTTAACTCCTGGGCAAGCCAATGACCACAGCAGACAGATGATGAGACTTTGAGCCCCGGCAGCCATAGCACCTACCATGGGGGGCGGTACCTGCTACTGTCCCATTGCCCACCAAGCAGAACACTGCAGGTTGGCTGGGCAGCACCAGGAGGCTGGGTTTGTCTCAAAGTGACCTGGCTGTGATAGTCTCCTGTGAGCTTAGCAGCTGGTGCAGGGGAGAGAAGAGAACCAGACAGTGGGCTGGGGCAGCACGGTGGGCAGGGGGTCAGGGTGTTGGAGAGAGCGCGATTGGGTTGCTGGAGCGGGCAACCTAAGTGAGATGGGAGCAGGAGAAGGCATATGGGATCAGAGAGGACCATTTGAGACCTGTGAGGTGTAGAACCAGGGGGGGCGGGGGAGGGAGCTGAGGGGAGGGAAGCTGTGGTTAGTTCAGGGGGAAAACCTGATTCAAGAAATAACCATGTTGCTTTTCTTCCCTACCTGGACCTGCCAGAGTGGCTCCCACAAGACAGGGAGGCAAGAAGGGCCGTTCTGCCATCGAGGCGGTCGAGATCAGAGAATACACCATCGCCATTCCCAAGTGCACCCACGGTGTGGGTTTCAGGAAGTGCGCCCCTCGGGCCCTCACAGAGACCCGGAAAGTCGCCAGGAAGGAGATGGGGGCTCCGGTGTGTGCCCGGACACCAGGCTCCACAGAGCTGCCTGGGCCACAGAAATAAGGACTGTCCCATACCGCGTACGGCAGCCCGGGGCGGCGGCCCAGAAAGCGTGGTGATGATGAAGATTCACCAAACAGGATCTATGGGCCTGTCACCACTTTCAAACCTACAAACAGCTAATGCGGGTGAGGACTGACTGCTGCTGATCAAATAAAGCGATAAAACCCCAAAACAAAGCACCACAAACCTGTAACCAATGGCGCCTTGAATTATCAGGACCACAGAGACTGGAAGCTTTCTCCAAATGCAGGTATTTTATTGAGAAAAAGGCATATGCTTGTGAATGGCGAAGTCCAATAAAGATGTGAATCCGTCTGCAGTGGATTTGTCGCAGGAACAATAAATACGCAAGAAAGGCAACGGACATGTTGATAAACAATAACGGGGATGGGCTAATTGTGTCCATTATTAAAATGTGTCATAGAGCTACAGAAATTAAAGTAGTGGCTCAAGTATAGATGAAAAATTTGACTAAAAACAGAGCCACATAGTTATAAGAATTTAGTATTTAATGAAGTTATGTTGAATCAGTGTGAAAAGAACATGTTATATAGGGGTATTGGACCACTGCTTAACTAGTTGGGAGGGAAAAAAGATCTAGATGTAATATATTGAAATGGATTAAATAATTAAATGTAAAAACAGAACCATAAAAGAACTAGAAGGAAGGAGAGATGAATATATAGCCCTGCTCTGGGGAAAGATCGTTTAAGCATGACACCAAAGGAAGAAATCATAACAGAAATGACTTATAGAGCTGTACCCTCAACAGAGCTTCCGTTCCATCAAAACACATAAATCAAAATTAGGACCTGGACAAATTGAGGAAACAGGATTTTAATTGGAAGTTTGACCAGAGCAAATAGATACACAATTCCGAAATTAGTGGCCAGTCTAAGACATAAATTTTCAAAGGAATTGACTAAACCGTGTTTTAAGGATCCATTTATATCCAACAACAGTACACACATGGATCAAGAAAGAGGAAGGGGGGGGTCTTTGAAGAAGGAATTTTGGGGGAAAGAACTGTTATGTGTTTGTCCATTTCTCCCTCCTGGAGAGAAGGTGCCAGTGGGCCCGTGTCAACAGCTGCCTAGCTCCCTGCAGCTGGGAGTCCAGACCCATATCTGAGTCAAACCTGAGAATCGAATGGAAAGGACCATGGGCCAATCGCCCCGGAGCAGAGGAGGGGAGAGCTGGCTGCCCCACGGGGTGGGTTTGTACAGTGGACTGGAGGTAGGGTGTGACTGGCTGGGAGCTCCTTTGAATTCTGCCCAAGGGGAGCTGGCAGGAGGGTAGTGGGTCTGAGCCGTGACTGAGCAAGCAGAACACAGCCCTTCACAGGTGTGAGCAGATGTTCCCAGGAGAAAGCTGCTGGACACAACACTACCCCAGAGGAAGACTCAGACTCGGTTTAAACATGTGCCCTCTCCCAAGTGTTAGGCAAGTAAAACTGATTCCTGCTCTCCTGCTCCCTCTCCTCCCTTCCCCTTCAGGAAGAGCAGCAATCTGGCAGGTGACCTGCTCTAACGGGAGGAGCAGAGAGGGGAAAGCAAGTTCAGCTTTTATGAGAATTGGCACGTTTACTAATGTATTGGAGGGCATCCATTTCTGAGCCGACGCTGTGTTTTATAGCCTCAGGGTTTTGCATAAACTAGTAGTTGAGCAACAACCGCTGGACCAGGAAGTCACTGTTAGGACACATGCCCGGTTGTGGGCTGGGTCCCTGGTAGGTGGCATGCGGGAGGCACCAATCCATGTTTCTCTCCATCATTGATGTTTCTATCTCCTTTTCCCTCTCACTTCTTCTCTGAAATCAATAAAAATACATTTAAAAACCCCAAAACAGCCCTAGCCAGCTTGGCTCAGCGGATAGAGCATTAGCCTGTGAACTGCAGGGTCCCAGGTTTAATTCTGGTCAAAGGCACGTGCCCAGGTTGTGGGCTCGCTCCCCAGTGGGGGACTTGTAGGAAACAGCCAATATATGATTCTCTCTCATCACGGATGTTTCTATCTCTCCCTCTTCCTTCCTCTCTGAAATCAACAGAAATATATAAAAAAATAAAAAAAAACAAAACCCAAAATATCTTTTTAAAGAATCAAGATGCAGAGAAGTCACTCCCCCTGCCTGTGTCACCTCAGCCCTGATGCCTGCTGGCTGTGCCTGTGAGCATCGTAAAGGGGCTCAAAGAGAATAGGGCAAGTGAGTGTTCCTGAGTGGGTGGAGTTCTATGTCTTATGTTATTTTTACTTAAACATTCTTTAATATCTGTGGCTTTTATAGAAACAGAATTCATCTGGAAGGAGGAAACCTTCGGCAGCTCAGCTGTAATTTGAGTGGCAGCCACTGGGTGTGGGGCAGCCACGATGGTCAGGGTTTCACAGACCAGAGAAGTGAGGCTCAATGACATGAAATGATTACCCCGAGTCCACAGCTGGTCCCGTGAAGCCAGAACGCTAACCCTAGCAGCACCCTGGGCCGCCTCTTGGCCCACGCCCCTCGCTGAGAAAGGAGCCTGTCGGGGAGAGCTGTCACCCGCCCATCCTCCCCCGCCCTCTCAGGAAGATGGGACAAACTTACAAGCCGGGCAAGGGGGCAGGTGAGAAGCCTGTGGCCCACAGCCAGACCCAACCTGTGGCCTTGACCTCATTAGGAGGGGCAGCCAGGAGTGTTCCTTACCATCTTCCCATTTCCCCACTTCTCCGCTGACACCTTGGCTTTCCCAGGCCTGGGAGATGGCCCAGTGGTGCGATCGCTGCTTTGGCCCAGCACCCCCCAAAGGCACAGTCCCCAAAACTGGACGTGGTAAGTCGTTCTTGCCAATGCAAGGCACCAGGTGTTCCCCGGTGCTCTTATTTTTACCCTTTCTCAGGCCAGCCCAGCACAGCATCTGTCCTATGTCAAGCAAGTGGGCACCAGGCTTTTTTTCTTTAAGTCGAGCCCTCAAATCTAAGATGCCATAGACTGCAAGATGCTTCCTGACACCAGAGATATTCAAATGCAAACAGATGGGAATGCTGTGAAGTGCTGTTGATTGAAAGACGATCAGCTCGATCTCAGAAATGTTTGATGATGAATCATCGTGCATCCTAGAAGTGATGGAGCAGGCAGGGCTGTGCTCTCTGACGTGCGGTGGTTAAGGATTTTGAGCGTTACTCTTGCTGCAGCGACAGTGAGGACCAGGTCACTCATTCTTGCCTGGTTTGGGCGTGGGTGAGGGTTAGATCTCCTGATAACAGCTGTTTCTCTAGTGAACAGCTTGGCGCTGAGCTCCTTGTTGCTCCCCCCGGGTCAGGTCGGGTTCCCTGGGCCCAGGGCTGTGCTGTGTGCTGTGCACAGCCTGTGGCATCTGCTCAGCGCCTCTCACTTTTTTCTTGCCTTGGACCCGCGAAATGAGGCGTTTTGAACCTAGAATCACTGTTGTCAGCAGCATGCTCCGGCTGGGCGTTTATTTAAGGTCACACACACCCAGCTTCTCAAGTGTTCTCTAAACACTTGGACTTAATTTTTTCTGCTTTGCATTTCTTTCCAGGGGGTAGGGAAGAGGTCCATACCATCCAGGAAAAACAACAACACTGACAGTAGTCACAACAGAGACTAGGCCACAGACCTCAGAAAATGCCATTTTTGCCCCTGAGGTGTATACCCTTGGGCACTGGATTTGTACAATGTGTGGCTGAATGAGACTTAAAAAAAAATAGAGAGAGGCTGCTATAGCACATCTCTTGGCAGTGAATAGAACAGGAGTTTTATCTAGTATGACGGACAGTCAGAGAGGGCTCGGAGGGACAGAGCAGGACCTAACACACATTTCCAGAATACTCTACCCAAAGCAGCAGGATGTGCATTCACTCCGAGGGGTCGTTCCCCACGGCAGTGCAGTTCCTGGGCCATAAAGCACACTCCACCAACTCAAAAGACTCGAAATCACGCAGAGTGTGTCCTCTGATCAGATTGGAATCTAGTTCGAAGTCAATAAAACAAGCACATAACAACATACGTACCCACGTGAGTGCCTTCTCTCCTCAGAAGGCCACTTTTAGAGGATAGTCCTTACATGCACATTTTGGGGGGTACTGACTGTACACCAAGCTTTTTTTTTTTTTTTTTTTTTTTTAATCAATCTTTATTGTTCATATTATTACAAAGGTTCCTCATTTCTTCCCCCCTCCACCAGGTTCCCACCCCACCCTCCGTCCCCCCCCTCATCCCCCATTGTCCTCATCCATAGGTGCAGTTTATGTTCAGTCTCTTCTTCCCTCAATTTCCCCAATAGTAAATCCCTTTTCAGATAGTAAATCAGTTACTTAGCATTTTCTCATATCAATAATACCTCCACATGCCCAATGATACACTTCACACAAAAGACATTTCCCACTAGGTCAACCAGCCTCATCCAGGCCCCACCCAAGGCACTCACAGATCAACACCCCAGTCCTAAACTAACTCAACACATCCAGATCTAAGCCTTCATCACTTGATTCAGCAGACCCTCAAGTTCCCACGAAAGTTTCCAGCCATGTCTGAGAAGCAGCCGTGGGGCAGGGGCAGGCAAGGAGCGAGCTGTTCTGGGCCTGGCTGCTCAGGGCCTGGCCTCTGTTGCTCTGGTTCATTCCACAACCAGCTGCTCCGGGTCTGGTCACTGCCGCTCCCGACCTAGTTGCTCTGGACTTGGCTGCTGCTGCTCCGGGCCTGGCCGCTCCCAGCCTGGCAGCCGCTGCTCCAGGCCTGGCCGCACCCGACCCGCCTGCTCCCCTGGGCCTGGCCGCTCCCAGCCTGGCAGCCGCTGCTCCGGGCCTGGCCGCACCAGCCCCGCCTGCTCCCCCGGGCCTGGCCGCTCCCAGCCTGGCAGCCGCTGCTCCAGGCCTGGCCGCACCCGACCCGCCTGCTCCCCCGGGCCTGGCCGCTCCCAGCCTGGCAGCCGCTGCTCCGGGCCTGGCCGCACCAGCCCCGCCTGCTCCCCCGGGCCTGGCCGCTCCCAGCCTGGCAGCCGCTGCTCCGGGCCTGGTCGCACCAGCCCCGCCTGCTCCCCCGGGCCTGGCCGCTCCCAGCCTGGCAGCCGCTGCTCCGGGCCTGGCCGCACCCGACCCGCCTGCTCCCCCGGGCCTGGCCGCTCCCAGCCTGGCAGCCGCTGCTCCGGGCCTGGCCGCACCCGACCCGCCTGCTCCCCCGGGCCTGGCCGCTCCCAGCCTGGCAGCCGCTGCTCCGGGCCTGGCCGCACCAGCCCCGCCTGCTCCCCCGGGCCTGGCCGCTCCCAGCCTGGCAGCCGCTGCTCCGGGCCTGGCCGCACCCGACCCGCCTGCTCCCCCGGGCCTGGCCGCTCCCAGCCTGTACACCAAGCTTTGAGCTAGGTGGTGGGGACACCTCAGGACCCCAAAACAGCCTCCAGCACAGGGAAGCTCGTGTCTAAAGATGAACCAAGAAGTGCGTGGATCCCGCACAGTATGGGGAGGGCACTATCGGGTGTGTTTCTGAGGAGCCCCGGGAGCCCAGAGGCCAGTTGCTCAGGGAACACACAGGCGTTAGGGAAGAGTTGGTGATGAAGGGGCCTCGTGTGCAGCTGGCCTGATGCAGGTGGGCCTGTTCTACTTGAAGAACAAGGGTTCCCCAGAGACTGTGACTCTGAGTGTCTGTAAGTGGGGGTCTCTGCTCCAGTTCCCCAGGACCACTGTTGCTTCCCATTGTCCTGTGTCAGGTCTGGTTGACAAATATGTGTGTCCTGCTTTGTCCCTGTAGTCTACAGTGTAGACGATGGAGTGCGTGCCCCTTCCCTCTTGAGCCCTGAGTGTAAGAATGCAGGCTATCCTCCTTGGGAATTGCTTCTGGGACCCACATACGGGCCACACAGAGGACCTAGCTCATCTGCCTTACACTTAAAAAATAAATTACATGGTGAGCCCCAGGTGATCACCCACTGAAATGGAGCCCATTGTCAAGGCGGGAAGAGTGGCTCTCATTGGGGTGCCCAAGAGGGAGGGCTAGGCATCCAGCCCCCTCAGAGGGACTCCTTGGAAGGGGCAGTGCAGCTCAGCCCTCGGGATGTAGTGGGCCCGGTGGACACTTGCTTGGTGACCTAAGGATGTTGGGCAGGTATGTTCTTCATCTGATTAATAACAAAGCCACAGCACAAATGACACCCAGACTATGTGGCATATGGGGCTGCACTGCTCTGGTTAGGAAGGACAGAGCCAGAATCTTACAAGCCTAAGGATGTCACGCCACAGATGTTGCCCGTGGAAGGGCCCTCTGAGACCTTCTAATTCCGGGGCTGCAAACATAAATGTGTCTAAGGCCAGGAGGTAATGTGCTTGAGAGAACCATGGCGAGTGTGGCACCTGTGGATCCGGGGTGGGGGTGGGGGTGGGCGCGGCACACCGGGGCCTGAGAGCATGCACGCCCGTCATTTTACCACGCTCACACTTGAGCGGTACCCACTACGGCTCAGGCCGCTGCTCTGAGAGCTTTCTGTCTATTAATTCATTAGTCCCTCACAACAGTATTGTGAGGTGGAGATTACCAGTACGCCCACTTGCAGGTGGAAAACCCAAGTCAGAGAAGTGACACCACCCATAGAGCCTGGAACTGAACTCAGCTCCCAAGTCAGGGCTTATAACCGGCACATCGCCCCAGCTGAGGGCTCTCCATTGCAAAATTCCTGGAGACCCTACGAGGGCAAAACAAGTCACACCTGCAGACCATGTAGGCTGTGAGTTTGCAGCTGCAGAGACCTCAGTGCCCTCCTTTCTCAGGCGAGGGAGCTGCAGCCTTCAACAGAGAAGGTTTTTGCAACATGTGACCTGCTGGCTAATGCCAGGTGCTAGGAGAGACCACGGCCTTGACCCCCACCCGCCTCGCAGGCCTGCCCGCACCCCACCCCGCGGCTGCTTATCCCTCGGGGCAGGAGTGGGACCGAGTGGGGGTGAGAGCAGCTTACCCTTGCCCAGGCCCGAGATGGCGTCGGTGATCACCACCACTTTGTTCTGCACAGCCGACTTGGACCACAGCCGGGACACCTCTTGGTAGATGAAGAGAAGGCCGCTGATGCCCAGGAGCAGCAGAGGCAGGGCGAGCACTGCTGTGACCCCCATCTTGTTCTGGGGAAACGTCAAGAAGGAACTGGCTTTGCAAAGGGTTTCCGACCAAGACACCGGGGTGGGGGAGGCCCAGGGCTGCAGCAGGCCGGCCCCCCGTGCACCAAGCCATAAGTGCCCTCCGGGAGCCGGGCTCTGTGCAGCCCCGGGCTGCTTCCGAGCCGAGCACCCTGCTAATCCCCCACCGTCTGATACATAGGAAATTACTCACGGAGTCTCCGAAAGCAGCGTGAATCCAGGGGCCTGCCCTCCCGAAGGTTAGTTATAAATGTAATTAAAACGAGCCTGCATTTTTGAAAGGAAATCCTTGTGTTAAGGCCACTTGCTGGGGCCCTAATGGCTATTTATAGGGCTCAGTGCACGGGAGGGCTTTCAGGGTAAATATAGTGTCTGTGCTGATACTCGGGGACACATGCTGGCCGGCTCTGGTTTCAGGGCTCCTGCCAGGACTCGGACAGCTCTCCGCATGCTTGGCTGTTGGAGGTGCCTTTGCAGTGCGAGGCTGGGTATCCGGGGCAGGACCTGGGATTTCAGCAGGAACATCCCGTGGCCCTCCCGTCAGGTCGCTGCTGGGTAGCTCAGACTGGCCTGGCAGCGAGCCATCGGGCCTTCCCGTTCTGGCTGGGGCTGAGAAGCATGGAAAAGCTGTTAAATGGAATGGAGCCTGTTGCAGAATAAGCCACTTGGAGGTGTGGGAGGCTTAAAATAGCATTAATATTACAATGTCTCTATGTCAAAGCTGGTTTGGTCCCTACAGAAACTCCTGAGCTGTACCGTGCAGATGTGGCCCTGCTGTGATCGAACACTGCACAAGTCCTTCACTGGAAATTAAGACCAACTAGAAAAAAACACACAAAAAAAACCCCACAAATTAAAAAAAAAATTTATTAATGAGAGAGAGAGATTTGTTGTTCCATTTATTTATTTATGCATTCATTGACAACCAACTTTTTATTGACCTGTATTCTACTAGAAATGTGCACGTATCCTAAGTGTAGCACCAGCCAGAGCTGGTTCCCCCTGATGGTGGGTTTGTTTGCAGAACAACGGCCACTCTGGAAATGACAGTGTCTGCTGGTGCGATACGCAGGCAGTTGGAATACCGACCCCAGAAAGGTGTTTCCTTCCACCAGAACAGGAAGAAGGTGGGCCCCTCCTTTTAAGAGACACCTGATAAAACTCACTGATAAAACTCACTGAAGGGTTAGCTAAGGCTGGGCAGCCTCCAGGCTAGCATGGTTGGTGACTTTGCCCTCATCTGGTGCTGGCTGTCTCTTTGGACAGGGCCACTGTGGTTTTGGTATTGTTTTCCAGACGCATTGGCAAGACTCAGATGCCATCTTGTTTCCTTTTACACCCAAGGGACCTAACACAGAGCTTTGCACGTGGCAGATACTAGCAGTTAATGTTTCACAGACATTGTTCTCAGATCTTCACTTAAACTGATGCACTTAGTCCTCACAACCCTTCAAACAGATAGGGTTGTTCTCCCACTTTACACACAAGAAAACTGAGGTACAGAGAGACAAATGACTTGCCCAAGGTCAAGATGAGGAGCTAGGAATTACATTCAGGAATTACATACATGGATGCTTATGACATAGCATCCATGCTCTTGATCATAAGCTATATTACTTTCCACAAAATGCTTTAAAAAGTCTATTTGACAGAGCTGACACCTCCTTAGCACCAGTGGGGACTTTCTTAGCCTCAATTCCACCTCCCACAGATGCTGGGGTCAGGAATGGGAGAGTGAGCCAGATTGAGGCAGAGAGACAAAGGGGGGAATTTGGGATCTATTAGGAAACATATTTTCTTAACATATACTCATTTGATAGATAGATTATCTCGCTATACACACATGTACATACTTCTAGGTAGCTATACACTCAGTGGCCAGATTATTATGAGCACCTGAAGTTTGTAGGCAAATGAGCTGTACACTGCAATGTATGGAATATGGAAGTTGAAGGCCTGTTCGACTTTTTTTGCTGTCTGCAGTTCCCAAGATAAAATGTCTCTAATTCGCACAGGAACACAAGGATTGGACAGTTGAGCATTGGAAAAAAGTCATGTGGTCTGATGAATCACATTTCCAGTTGTATCATGCAGATGGCAGGTAAGAATTTGGAGGAAACAGCACAAAAGCATGCAGAACCCTTCAAGCTGGTGAGGGGAGTGTTATGGTTTGGGGTATATTTTCCTGGCATGATTTGGGCTCTTTAATTCATGTGGAACAATGTCCAAAAAGCAGAACATAGCTATGTATTGTTGCTGATCAAGTTTATCTTATCATGTTGATGGCGTATCCCAATGGAGATGGCTTCTTCCAACAAGACGACATGCCATGCCATGGTGCTCATATTGTGCAGGAGTGGTTTCAAGAACCTGAGGGAGCCTTTACCTAGCTTAGGTGGCCCCACAACCACCAGATCTCCATCCAACTGAGCATTTGTGGGAGGAAGTTAAAAGAGCCATTAGGCAGCTGGTTCCACAACCATCAAACCTCACAGAATTGGATAGTGCTCTTCATCAGGCACGGTGTCAGATTCTTCCCATCACCTTTCAACATTTTGTGGAGTCAACGCCAAGAAGAATTGCCACAGAATTGAAGGCAAAAGGTGGCCCAGTGAAGTACTGATGGGGTGGTCATAATAATCTGGCCACTCAGTGTATATATGTGTATGTGTGTGTGACCAACCATTTTCTAAATGCTGGAGGAGGGGGCTTCAAAGAACAGCTCTTGCCAGGGAGAGATAATTTACAAACTTCAAGAGGGGGACCATATGTAAATAAATTATCTTATCTGTCATGCACATGAACTGCCTGGGTCTGTGTTATAGCAAAGGCAGACCAAATGTGATGCTTGGTTGTGTCTCTTGAGCTGGGGTGTGTTTCAGGGCTACCCTCACTGAAAACCATTGGGCTCTGCACTTAGATTTGTGTGTTTTTCTCTACAAAGTTAAACTCTAATAAAGTCAGCATTAAACATGTTTTGTAAAAGTGCCTGGGGAGCTCGGAGGATGCGGCAAGGAATCGGTTTTCAGTTGAGCCCCTGCCTGCCCTTGGTGTGGCACTGAGCCCGGCTCCCTCCTCCATGCGCCCCCTGTGCCAGCTGATGGGGTCGGCTTCCCTCTCGGGCCTCAGATCATCACTGTCCCGTGGCACTTCAGCTGCATCCCCCATGGAAGGCTTCTTGTTTGAGAGCTGAGCGAGTGTGTTTGGAAACATCTCCAAGGCGTGTCATCCTCTCTAGGCTCAGACTCTGGCCCAGTTTTGTGATAGTGACACAGGGTCTACCCATGCAGCTATGCAGGGGCAATGAGTCATAGACCAAACATGCCCTGTGGAGGGCAGCAACCCCTTCTGCTGTGAGTGAAGAGAGGCCTGGGACCCAGCTTGCCTTCTTTGGACTGGGCTTATTCTGGAAAATTCCATTTTACGCCTCTTCAAATATGCATCGTTCAACAAAACACAGAATTCCATGGGACCGTCATGTGCTAGACAGTACTCGACTGGAGCCCCAACATGCAGAAGGGATTGGGTTTTCCCTTAACGTGTGGCAGTGTGGATGTTACAGTCACATAAGCAGAGGGAGGGATTTCATCTGAAACATTTGGGTCCCCTGAAATGATGTGTTCACTAAACACAAATACACTTTGCAATGAATCTGAACATATCTAGCATTGCTAGAATTTGGTGGTCCACACCCCGCCCTCCTGCCCCCCCCCCCCCAACCGCAGATTATGTGTCTAACAACCTGTGGCCTTAGTAAAATGCTACTTTAAAATATAAGATAAGTAAATACAATATTGTAAGTGAGCACATTAGGGAACATGCAGTACCCTACTGCCTCAAACCAGACTGCACGCTTAGCATTGTTTATTTTTAGAAGCAAAAGTGCCTAGCAATTTAAGCACCAACATTCGAACATTTGCTCCACTTCACTGAGATAAGGTGTCATTCCATTTGACTGTTCTCCTTTTATCACTTGATATTCCTTGCAGACTGATTTACTTTTAGGTAGAACTTAGAAAATCTAGAAGGAAAAACATTTAAAAAATAACACAAATTTTATTTTTAAGCTCATGTCTTTCCTATGAAAATTATAAAGGAAGTATGGGATAGTTATACATACTATCATTTGTGTGTGTCAGTGAAGGGAAAACATTCGGGACTCCTCTGTCACAAGACCTGTATGGGCCACACATTTACATCCCTCAGCTTCTCTTCCTCTTGTGCTCATGTTATATTTACTAAACTCACGGTCAGGAAAGCGGAGATGCTGATTTAAACTAGAGTGTCAATGACTGATACCTTTAGTGAGCATGATCACACTTCCAGATGCTGGAATTAGAGGGTGTTTGGAGCAAGATGAGCTGGTGAGTGGGTCGTCCCAGGATGGCAGCCTTCTGAAGCCCACCCCAGAGATGCTCATTGTGGACATAAGTGCCCGGCTTGCCTGTCCATGCAGACCTGGCAGCCACCTGCTAGCGTGCGGACGCCTTGCCTGGGGTGCCAGGGGGCAGGTGCTCAGAGAATCTCACCAGGGCATGCCCCACAATGCCGGGAGCAGCTCCCTCTTCCCATTTTCCCAAGCATCAGGTCCGGGAAGGTGTGCTGAGAGTGCCAGCTGCCATTCTGTGCTCCTGCTTCTCTGTAGGTTCAGGTGGGCTGCTGTGTATCTGCCCATGGCCATGACCCCGCCATGCAGAGGGCGGAAGAGCCCCAGGCGAGGCTGTCAACAAAAGGTGCTGTGAGGAAAGGCGGGCCACCATTCAGGCCCAGGGCTTCCTGCTGGGGTCAGCCTGGGGAAGAGCCAGGGCCCAGCTCTGCCAATTTGCACCTAGGTTTCAGATGGAGAATCGCAGAGCCCAGCCAATGTGTCACTTTGATGATGGCTAAGAGCGTGGGGTCTGCACCATCCCTTACTGACCGCAGCCTGGAGCTGGAAACTCTGTGCCAGTTTCCTCAATGCTGCACTGGGCGGCAGGCTG